TGCACTCTGCCCTGGACAAGGCAAGCCCTTTGAGATGCAAGTGCGACTATGAAGAAAGCACCTGTATTCCTCTATTACTATGTATTATCTTCCCCCTATGAGATATATGAAATGAGATTTAAGGGATTTGCTTTCATTTACTTGCCCTTTGCCTGCTTGTGAGGTTAGGACGTCCTTTATCTGAAAATAATAACCACTGCAGTTGATTGAAAATACACAATGTTCTCCTTATTGGAAAAAAAAATAATCTATATTTCCTTATTGAAGTTACAATTTGAATTTTCAGTATTGAAATATGAATTTCCATATTGGAAACTTAAACAGGAGAAAGCATAGGCTCAGTCCAGCATCTTTAAAGTCTGCAGGTGCTGGGTTATTGCTTTTAAAGGTAGATGGATTGGAGTTCTCCACCTGTGTGAGTACAGATGCTTAATTGTAAACATTTTTGTTTGATTATTTGGCTAAGGTATAGCCAGTGTTTCTTCCAGCTAGGATATCTGCCTGAAATCATGACACACCGAGTTCAAAATTGGCTTTTGCGGTTGCAAGGTGTATGTTTTAATGAATGTTCCCTATCTCTCTGCAGCTGCATTAAGTGTTGCTGCTTTCTGAACATGAAAAGTGCGAGCTCAACATTTAAAATCAATACAACCAGCCACTAGCAAAGTAAATTGGGACAGAAAGTTTGTCAACCTGTTCTCCTATGCCGATATTACCTCATTAAATCTGTACAGTAGTGAATAAATCCCTAAGTAAGATTCCCTCTCTTAAACCGTACTCTTTCTAAGGAGAGTCACTGTAGTTAGATGAAACTGTGGTATTACTGAATACATAAATCTTGCGGATCCCTTGAAAGAGATTCCAGAAATGAAGTGATGAGAAATAAAAATAACCAGTGTCTCCCATGGATAAATTCAGTATTTATTGATGCATCAGCTTGCATTATTCCCTGCTAAACAAATGTCCTCTAGCAAGTTGACTAATTCTGGTTTAGCACATGGAAACTGCTGAAAATACCTGCATTTTGGTGAGGAGAAGGGCTCAGGCAAGGAACAGCGCTGTAGGAAGGCACTAACTCCTGTTTTCAAATGTACTTGTCTAAAAACGTGCCAGGAAGGAATTTTGTGCTTGACCCCAGCGGGCCTAGGATTTATGAAGACTCTGCTGGTTTTTGGTCCAACTCTGGTCCGTTGCCCATCTCAGAGAGTTGACAGTACGAGCTGTGCTCAATGTGCCCGTTACTCTCGTGCCAGTGACAGCGTACAGGGGCAAAGCCGCCCCCGTGTCTCTGTCGTCTTTAAAGCCATGATGTTTCCTCAGAGCAAAGCACGTTTTTTGTTGTGTACGTCTTTCCCTCCTGCTTGAGGGAAAGGAGGGCAGCTGTATGGATGAGGTCTTAGCTAATAACCCATCATTTCCAGGCATGGGGGGTGTGTGCTGGAGAAGGAATATTAATTTGACAGCGAGAGGAAGAGGCTTGTAATCCTGCTAACGTGCTAACGTGCTTGATGCCTCTAATTACATCTGAAGTGCTTTTGCTGGTCAGGCCTGGCATGGAAGCATTCAAGGGCAATTACGAAGCTGCCCGCTCATCACGCGGCAGAGACGGCGTAACTGGACGAGGAGAGAGACTTCTGTAAAGGCGATTCTCAATGACCTGTAAACATCACACTCTTTCCAGCCTCCTTCCTACTATCCTGAAAAGGAAACAGGCTGGTGTGAAAGACCATGTTCCTGTAACTTGAAGGGATGGAGATTAAAACAAAGTAGTTGGTACTAGGTCCCTGCTACAGTCCTCTGCCTTTGGCATAATAATAGAAGTCGTTTCAGAGGAGCGGAGCAGGAAGTGTCTGTTTACGGTGGAGGGATTAGACACAGCAATCTCAGTTGCTTTCTTGATTATGTCTTTTTCCATTTGCATGCATAGCAGGGAGCATAGCAGGGACCGTGCTCCACTGCCGGAGGCAGCTCTGAAGCAGCTCTGTCCTTGATGGCACCGAGCTGTGGGCTGCACGAGGCACTTTGCATACGCTGGAAAACCTATGTGCTCTTCCTCCCTTGTTTCCCTATAGCGCTTAGAAAAAGAAATGGGGTTTGCATGCTGTCAACCTGGATAGATGCTGGCCTGGATGTGTGAAATAGGTGTTTAGGTGTGCAACCTCTTCTTCAAGTATAAGGTAGTAGCAGCAAATTTCAAGGCAGTAACAACTGGTCATAGTTTGATCTGTACCAATCAGACAGCCGTGAACAAAATGGGATTTAGGGTGAAGTACCTTGGCTAGTGAGACTGGAGTCTTTGCCTCAGCTGTTAGTGTTGAGCATTGAAATACCTGATGGGATCTTCCCTTGTTAACAAAGTAAGAACAAGATCAATAGCTACACAGCTCACTCCTGAAGCTTATTTCCTTCTTATATGAAGGAGATGTATTTAGTCTAGGGAAGGATGCTCCTTCTGGCACAGGCTTGGTTCTGTTCATGCAACACTGCTGATAGGCCTCTCTGCCATAGCCCTCAGGAGAAAATGTGGTTATATGAGTAACAATTTCAGCCATGGAAAAGCTGCTGTGTAGTTTCTGAAAACTGGAATAAAATGGATATAAATATTTCCAACTAAAGTCAGCCAAAAGCTTAAAGTAAATTGAAATTCCAGTCAGTCAATTTGAAACTCTCTAAATTTAATTAATGGGAAGAGCATGAGGTAATATTAAATTAGATTTGACTGGCAAATGAATGTTCACATAATAAAAAATTTGAGTTGATTATTGTTTAAGTGGGTAGCTGGCATCCAGTCTGATTTTCCTTCTCTGCACAACATGTGGTAGGTCTCTACCAAAAATGTTTCTGTGGAAATTATGGCTCGATTTCTGCCCTTACCTACCAGCCTGGGAAATTTGGAATTAAAGCAAACTGTAATCTACTGTCTTGCATCTTCTCAGGTGAAAGAAGATGCATTCCTATGTCTGAGCACCGTCAAGGGTGTTCTCTAGCCAAAGTTGTGGTTTGCTTCCATGCTTCTCAGGTCAGCCCTCTCATGGGGATGAACTTGGCCCCTTATGCCTTATGAGCAGGCTGTACTTCCCAAAGACTTGCCCTACCAAATATATGGACTATCTAGAAAAGTTCATGCTGAGAATGTGTGTCGTATCAAGACTAATTTTAATATGTTGCCATTTAAATTTATTTTAACATTGTAAACTTCCAAGTAATTTTTATAAAAAAGAACTCAGACTTGGCAAAAATCTTGATTTCGTAAAACCGTTCAGACTGAAGCTATCCAACATCAGTTGAATTCTACTGCATCAATTGGATTCTACTCTATCTGCAACTAATGATAGTGTTCCTTAATTAATTTTGAGGACCTTGACCTTTCTAAATTCTCTTCTGTAAAGCAATATGCCTAATTATGTACTGCACAGTTAAACAAACTAATTATGTAGACTAATGAACATGAAAAAATCTGCATGACCCTATTTTCAGGATTCATGTTCTCTGGTATAATCACTTCAAGGATTACATTTCTGCTTTATTCTAATGTGGCTTGTTCTTTCCTGGATGATAGGGTGGAAAATATGTGGCATGATTTTAAAATGTTGTTTTGATGGAGTTCTGAAAATTTAAATTTTTAAGGCAATACTGCACATCATAGAAATGTTTGAAAAGAAGAGATTATTATATGCTAGTTCTCTCAAACAGAACCACGGACCGTTTAGACCATCGCAGCATTCGGTATCTCTGCCTTCAGATTTCACCTGTGCAAGAGAAGCTGGCTAACTGAATTAGCAATGCAGATTTATAATACCATTTATATATCTAAATGCAATAAAAATAAATTTTAATTAAAAGAAACACTCTAGGGTCCTGTTTAATTAGCATCCTCAGTAGCTGTTCTGCTGTGTACTTGCAGACCTCTTCATCTTTTCCATCAGACCTGAATTGCTCACACCACCAAATTAGTAGCAGCTGAGAAGGATGATGTTGTTTTCTGTGCAGGTCTGTCATCCCAGCAGCAGTGCTGGGTGCCCACCACCCATAGAAGGGGGTGCCAGCCCCAGCTGCACATGAGAAGGATGTGCTGTGGTGGTTAGCACTGTCCAAGCCAGAACGACCTTCCTCAAACTGGGAGCTGCCATTTTTTTCAACAGATCCATCCTCTCCTCCAACAAGGCTGCTGTGTCTTGACAAAACCAGCCAGCATTCATTGAGGGTAGAGTTTCAGTTTATTCTGAAGCAAACTCTTTGTCCTAGGTTTGCCACCCAGGAGATTTGCAGTACAAAAGGAAGGGGTGTTCTTTGACTGAAAGTATCTTTCTGGGGTCTGGTTACCCAAATGCAGCAGCCAGAAGCTTAGGGACATCTTGAGTGGAGTTTGCATCCAAACTATCATGTTGAAGAGCCACCAGTGGACCAACCATCCATGAATTTGCCTAAAATGATGAGCTGAGGATAAATGGGTCTCAAATCTTCCTTTGTGTGTCTCAACTGTATTTCTGTGTTCCAGGATTCGGCCTTGCTCTCAACCTCCAGCCATCAGTGATAATCATAGGGAAGTACTTTCTGAAGAGAAGACCCATCGCGAATGGCCTTGCTATGGCAGGGAGCCCCGTGATGCTTTGCACCCTGGCTCCTCTCAACCAGGTCCTTTTTGACAATTTTGGCTGGAGGGGCAGCTTTTTAATTCTTGGGGCAATTTTATTAAACTGCTGTGTGGCAGGAGCTCTCTTCAGACCCATCGGGGCAGCCACAGCATCAATCAAAACCCAGGTGACTGAGGAACGGAAGGATGCTCTGAAAGAAGAGATCACTAAGGAGGATGCCATGGAAATGAGTAGCCCCACAAACATCCCTATGGTGACCAAAACGGAAGAGGAAGGAAGAAAGGACTGTTGTGAAAAACTCAATCAGTACCTTGATTTTTCCCTCTTTAAGCACAGAGGCTTCTTGATTTACCTGATCGGAAATGTGCTCATGTTCCTGGGGTTTTTTGCCCCCATTGTTTTTCTGGCACCCTATGCCAAGCACATTGGCATTGATGAATACTCAGCTGCTTTCCTCCTTTCGATTCTTGCTATTGTGGATATGATTGCCCGACCTACCACTGGCATCATAGCAAACAGCAAGTGGGTGAGGCCACGGATTCAATACTTCTTCAGCTTCGCCATTACTTTCAACGGTGCCTGCCACCTTCTGTGCCCACTGGCTTCTGGCTACACGGGCCTCGTCGTTTACTCCATCTTTTTTGGCTTGGCCTTCGGCATGGTTTGTGCCATGCTTTTTGAAACGCTCATGGACCTTGTGGGAGCTGCCCGGTTCACAAGCGCCGTTGGTCTGGTCACCATTGTGGAGTGTTGCACGATATTGCTGGGACCACCTATTGGAGGTGAGTGTATTTTCTTCTTCTCCTTCCACTTAGTTGTCACTTACATTTAGCCTCTTGCAAGCACAGTTTGTAAGAAGTGATTCTAAATGTGTTTTCTCTGCTTCCCACCCAAAATTTTTCCAATAGTAATTGGACGGGGAAGGCAGGTCCTAGGTGACTCCTCCAGTATTTCTTCTTTCCTCCTTTCTGTGTAGTCCTCCAGTTGAAGTCAAGAGTTTGGACAGTGATCTTTTAGTCTCTGATCCCTTCAGACACTTAAACTGAACTTGCAGAGTGGGACTTGTGCAACACCAAGAACCTCTCCTCCTGGAGGGCCTGTTGCAAAAGGCTGGAGTCCATCACAATTTAAGCACAGTTCCATGAAATCCTTATTGACTCGAACCTAGTATTTGGTATTTGTCTCAAAGACTCTGAATACTTCCACTTAGGGATTTCAGTCATCTCAGAGCATCTGATAGATTTAAGGCTGTTCCAAAAATAATAAAAAAAAAAAGTTTATATTGGATGTCATGGTTTGAAATATCAGAAGACAGAGACCCTCAGATGTCCATGCTGACAACATTGAACCTCCAGCAGGGCTTACAGTCATCTGAAGATAAGTGGGAGCAGTGACCTCCTGTGATTTTAACAGCCTATGCTTCTTTCTCTCTATAGCATGTGCTCGCTTCATTTTCTACAAGAAACAGACCATGTCTGGAAGACACCATATTTGAATCTTACATTTGGCTCAAGCACAGTCCTTATCAAGTCTGAGTTGTCTACAAATTAAATGACTTTATAGGTGACATCCTTTCAGTGTATAGATATCATCCTATCCAAGTGCCCTGTCCTGCAATGTGCGTCTCACTTGTATACAATGCTAGAATAACTGGTTTGGAAAATGGTCACCTTTAAGTATGATAAAATGTTTAATTAGGTTGTATGTGCTGTCTATATTTGGATGTATGAAAGTTGAACTCTCCTAATTCTTTTGATATGACAGTATCATAATAAATTTAAAGGATGCACAGAAGGAAGACTGTTTAAACCCATTTCCTGGATTCAAAACTGAGATCTGGCTAATACTCTGTATGACACATCTTGCAGAGCTGTTTAATTCTTTGTGTTACCATGTAGCTCGTGCAGTGTGACAGAAGCAGCTGTATCCTTTTGCTGTCTTAGAGACTCATTATTTAATTAATGACAAACAAAAGAAAATACAATTTTAAAATTACTATTTTCTGAATTATATAATTTTCTGTGTGAAAGACTAAGTTAATGACCAGAGACTGCTAATGAGGCTAAAACAGTTCTATGTAATAATCAGTAATATTAGTTTTGTAGGGTTTTCCCCACCATTTTAATAAGCAGCAAATTTATTAGTTCTTTGGCATTTTAATAACCTACTGCAGCGTTCTGCTTTAATGAACTAAGAAAATTGTTCCCAGTGTGTTTTATGACTTTATCTTATTCTCAAAGGAAAAGAGGCAAGACTATCCTACTGTTGAATTTTCCAATACTCTACTCATTAAAACTCTCATTGAAACCTATTTAGGAGACCTCTAGGTCATCCTGATTAGCAGAAAAGGAAAAAATTGTTGCAATTAGCATTTGGTTGATGTTTTACCAGTAACATGAAAAACACAGTGCATTGAAAATGGTGCACCAAGGCATCTAGGAATGATTCAGGAAGAACCATTGACCAAAACCAGTTAAAAATTATTTCTTTGATCAAGAAGTCTATTTGGTGGCCATAAAATCCCTTGTTAGTGTAATGCAGTGGGATAATTAATCATCAGCTTTTCAACATTAGGGGTCAGTCAGGAAGTAATTAAGGATCCCTCTTTTTAAGGAGGAGACTATATTCCAAAAAGTCAGAGAGCTAATGGATGATGGGCCAGTTTCCAGGAGGACTGCCTGTACTTTGAAGGCCAGGTTAGGAGTGAGTCTTACTTTAATTAGGATTTGGGATGTTAAGAATGGTCTGTGTTGCACCAGTAAATGGGAATTAATGCTTAGGATCGTAATCCCAATAAGATTTGCATTACATTTTGACATAATGGAGAACACTGACATTTCAATTAAGCCGTCTCCCTTCAATTACTCTGTAACTCCGTAGCAAAGACATTAACCTTTGAGAGAAATCTGTCACATTTGTCTTGGCGTTGAAATTATCTGACATTGACAGCATCATCTTTACTTTCCTTGGAACTAATGTTTTCCAGTTCCATGCAGTGCCCTTTCATCTTTAGATCATGAGTATAAATGCTGAAAGGGCAGCTGTGACCCAAAGCTGAGTCCCCTGTAGTGCTGGTGAATGACCCGTGGTGGAATAAATCAGCGGGTCTTTGTCAGGAGTCTGAGACAAGACCCAGTGGCCAGGTGCCATCTCACGAAAGTCTTCCTGAAAGCTGTCTCTTTTGTTGGCAGCCTGAGGACTACCAAGTCACATGGATGTCCTTGTAGTTGATCGTTGGAGTCAATGGAAAGACTGTCTGTGGACTCTGTGGTCAGAGGACTTAGTTTCTGCATGAAAAAAAGTAGATGTGCCTGAAAGTCTGGACTTTGCAATGTAGGTTCTCTGTCCCCTTTTACTTAACTGTACAAATTATTGGTAGTATTACTCATATCAATGTTAACTACCCACAGGCTGTATAGTGGAACACGTGTGAAGTATTTGTGAGATCAGAAGTACAAAGAATGTATTATTTTAGCCTAAAGCCACAGAGGTGTCCCTTTATATTTAGGATCTGAAAATACAATATTCTTGCCTTCACCTCTAAGTTTCTTTTTTTTTTATTTTTTAAATATATGTTTTACAGGAACTCTTATCGATACCTTTGGGGACTATAAATATATGTTCATAAAATGTGGAGCTGTGATGGTCCTGGCAGGAACCTTCCTGTTCATCATGAATTATTATAATTATCGTATGGTTGCCAAGGAGGAGAAGGAAAGAAAGGCAAAAGAAGAGGACCCTAAATCTGTAAGGACAGAAAATGAAGACAGAAATAACTGGAACAAAGAAACCGTACGGGATGGGCCTGAGCTGGAACCTTTGAGAGAAGAACGAGAAGGACTGAAGAAGGAAGTGAATGGCACAAATGAAGTTTAAACGTGTTCTGGTGGGCTGAATGGGAAATGACTTCTGGGTTGCTTAAGTCGACACTAGCTGTGAAATCACACTAGGTTTTTAAATTTTGCCCTATGCTCTGCCATGTGCATCCTCCTCTTTGTTGTTGGAGAAGACTAGAAGAGAAACACGTCTAGTTTCTTCTACAGTGCTGGGACATACAGTGCAGTATCGTTTGCATACCAAAGGTCCTGCAACATTTTTCTTCAGATATTTCCCATTTCCAAGAGGGGCTGAGCAGGGTGTAACTGACACCCCACTTTTATTCCCTGTATTGTAGCTCTACTCAGTGAAAAGGCCAATGGCCATCAGAGTCAGTGCAGCAGCCTGAACGGGCTTTGCATTGAGTACTGTGGTGGCTGGATCTTCTCATCGTGCAGTCAAAATTCTTTGACTCTCTTTGACTGCAGTGTCAGAATTATCCCAGGGATTTGGTGCTGCCTTCCACTGGCAGCTGCACTGTGACTTGCACCTCCATCTCATGGAAGTGTAAATGAGACCTTCCACTCAGATACAACATGAGAGCTGCTTGAAGAGAACAAGGGCAGTACATGCCTGTGGGTCAAGTGGCAGCAAGGCAGCCTGTCCTTGTGGCCAAAGCATGGAAGGAACTAACTTGAGATGGCTCTTCATGGCTTGACCAGGGACTTTCTCAGGGACCTCTGCATTTAGGAAAATGCCTTGAGAAAGGTGATCTTATGCAGGGGGCCAGCACAAGGCTGACACACTACAGGAGTTCTTCTTCCAGGTCCTTTGTCTGTGTGGGGCAGAAATTTAGTCTTAAAGGGCTCGAACTTTGATCAACATTCAAACAGTGCAAATTCTTTAAAATTTTCCCTAGGCAGTAACAAAGCCCTTATTACACAATATCTTGTCTTATGGTTTTTAGCATGCTTTTTCTTTACAACGCCCTGGTGAGGCAGTAAGTGTTGTTACTATTAATTAATTGTACAAATGAAGAACGGAAGCACATAGGTGCTATGGGCATCATTGCATCAGTGAATAAAGCTTAGCCAGACCTGCAATGGGATCCACTGCCCTAAGTGGGGCACCTTGGCCACCTTCAAGTGTGAAGGAAAACAGCTGAGATGGGGAGCTGAAAGCCTGCCTGTTGAGCACAGGTATCACCCTGCTAGAAAATAGGAAATATCATGGATAATTGTGCATTAAACCACACCTTCTCTGCCATGCAGCCTTCTTACTTTGTGCTTCATACTACTCAGGATTATGATTTTAAACACTGTCTTATAGCTGCGACCTTGTGTCATATTTTTTTAACCTGGTTAAGTTGGATCCGTCCTGGAGGAAATCCAAATGCAGCTGCTTCCCCTTCTTTGGGCTGGGTTAGGCACCTCCCTGTTGCTAACACTGCAGCACCTGGTGGCCTCATGCCATCCAGTTTCATGAAATAAAGTTTCTCCAGGTCAGTGATGCAGAGCTGAGGCTGAGGTCAGGTAGGAGCCTCTCATCCAGTGGTGACAATTTTGAGCTTGGAAGATCTGGATTCTGACAGCAAGCACTGATGTATTTTGTAACAAGCAGCTGTTGCCCAGGAACTGTGGATGCTGAGCGTGGCATCATGTAGTTGAATCATCAGCCTTTTGTGCATTTATCTGCAAGTGATTGGGTAAAAATGAGGACTTTTGAGGCAGGTCACCCAAATCCGAAGCTAACACCAGCCCGTAGGCTGACTCTCCTCTTTCTTTGCTTCAGTGGCACCCTTGTGTGATCAGATGAAGTTTTTTACATGACTTCATCACCGAAGAACTGTATTTAATTATCACTTGTATACACACTATGAAGAATGCCTTGTAAAAATGCTTTCATAGATACACTATGCTCTTAAATGTACATCACATATCTTTTTGTACAAAAACATTTTCTTTGAAATCTTTTGTTCCACTAAAGAATAATGGTCTTTGGCCATTGACTTCAGTAGGACTTAAATTTTATCCTTATATAGTATCTTGCATTTCCTCTGAAAAACAAAATCTATACAATACACTTAGGCGTTTGTTGCTGTGTTTTTAATATTCTTTATTTCTGTCAAATGTATCTATGGTATTTCAGTAAAAAAGGCATTGATAGAAGGTCCTGAACATTTTCCAATATGCCTTCTGGAAGCTTTAATATACTTAATAAAACTCTCTTAAAAAACTGAAATGAGTTTACGTTTGCTTGTTGTGATCTGTAGGGTACTGCTGCCTTTCTATTCAGCAAGGAATTTATCCTCATAAGATTTCTAGTCCTGGTTCCATGTACATGGTAGTGCAGCTCATGGTCGTAGCCTCTTATTCCACTGGGAGCTCCTTGCCACACAGTTTCTTTGACATTTTCAGGGATTTGGGCCAGCCCAACTCAGACCTCTAGTTGTGTGGGCCCATAATGAGCCTGAAACTAGCCGAGAATGACCTGGCAAGGATCTGACAAGATAATTTTCATACCTTCCCACCGGGTAGTATCGATTAATTCTAGGAACAATGACCCAGATCCCCAGCTGTCCATACTGCAGGAGCTGATGCTAAGGCTCTTGGTCTAGCAGAAACCTGAAGCAAGCGTTTCAGGTCATAAAATTTGTTAATACAGATAACATTTTCAATAAAAAGTATTTTTGTTCAGCTGGCTATGAAAATCCTCTGGAGAAGAGACACCTTTGTTAACCTTTCCCTGAGGGCAAAAAATGCTACGTTGACGAAGTAGTTCTTTATGGCTTCAGAAGTCTTTTAACATTAAGCAGCTACTTCATTTAACCTACTCAAGCCTCCTGTCACAGAAACAGATATTGTCTTTAAGATTCTGGCACTATTTCTATCACGCAGGAAGCCAGGCTGTTTTAGTACAGTTTTGGAGATTTGGCTGGCTGTCAGCGGTGGGTGGCCTGTCTCTTCCCGATTACCCTGCCTCCTGCCCCCACTGCAGCTTCAAACTTTTGATCACATCATCTCGCTAATCAATGCCCCAAAGCAATGCCAAATAACTGTACTTTAAAGCCCTAGAAATGCTTCACTGAATCAAATCCCGTGAATTCAACACCTTTCAGGCTCAAGCTGTAATCCAGGCTTGGAAAACTCTCAAACTTTCCTAAGAACGTTTTCGGTTATTAAAAATAACTGCTACAATATGAAATATCCATTAGAGAAAGCTCTTGTGAAGGAGCAGAAGCTGCCTGTGCATCTAATTTAGCGATTTGTGTGGCAAATTGAACACAGTATTCGTATTTGAATATTTAAGCATACATTCATACATGCATGCTTAAGTCTGGAAAGCACCTGGGTAGGGAAGTCAAGAGGTGTGAGTGTTGTACCATAAACACCTGTACTAGGCACAGGGGGCATGTTTGGGGTATCAGACGTGCAAGGATGATTGCTAACACTTTCATTGGAGTGCAGTTATTAGATGTCTTTTATATTTCATTAGCTTGTGACCTTATTAGGAGTGGTTGCCCATTGTTTCCAGGGTTGCTCGAATGTCTACAAGAGCCTGATTTCGATGCTGACCCATCGTTCCCAACAACCACAAAAGAAGCCAACAGACCATGCAGTAACAAGGCAGCTCCTGCAGCCATGTCCTCCTGATGAGGCACAAGGGGAGTTTGATGGGGAGATGTGACAAGTACCATGGATTTGATTTAGATTTATCCCCATACTCATTTCTTATTTATAGTTTCCAAATTTAAAGGCATGAAGGAGCAATATAAATATTTCAACACTTACTCTGAAGTGGTAAAATTCGTACACCTTCCCACCTCCCTTTTTAACAGAATGAAAAAGCAGCGACTGTGCCACGTGGTAGAGTGTCACGCTACTAGAAGGGGACATTTTTCTGCCATCATACGTTGTGCCAGATGCTGCTTTGCCACATGTAGCATTGTCTTGGCCTGGGAAAAGGGCAACACGGACTGCCTGAGAGCAGGACTGATGAGCAAGGCTGGGGGACACAGCTCTGCAAGGTCAGCTGTAGATTTCAGCTCATCACAAAGAAGCTTCAGTGCTTTTTATTTTATACTGCTAATGAAAACCTTCTTTGGTGGGTTGATAGCCAAGAGGATGCCAGTACCCAGCACTTAAAGAATAGAGTGTAAAACCAGGCTGTCTTGTTAAGTGAGCACAGGAGGCTGCAGTTTTCAGTCTTAAATATCTTAGTATCTTAAATATAATCACTGGTGTGTGTTTATGCTGCTCTGGGCAGTCCTCCACATTGGGCACACAGAGGAGCTCATGGCCACAGAAGGAAAGGATGTTCACTGGCAATATGTGCAGCGATAGAGAAAAACATAATTGTTCTCTTGTTAACAAAAAGAATGAACCATGTCCAGAAAGTGCAAAACACATGAGGAGACCGGGGAAGTCTGGAGTCATGAATGAGTAGAGGTAACTTGGTAGTAACTGTGTTAAAAACAAGCAAGCAAACAAACAAAAAACATGAAGTGCCAACCTATATATTTGAAACACGCCATCATTTTAGATGACACAAGAGATTATTCAGAAGGACAGTTCCTATGGCAGCTGATGCCAAATTTATTTGGCCGTGTTCAGAAAGCGCCTAGTAGACAATACAGGTGCGTTCAGATTACACTGAGGAATGAATTTAAAAGACGACTTTCGTGCCCTCTGCGGCGACAGTGACATTGACTATAAAATAGCACTATTTAGACTTATCAGGACCACGGGAGGGTGTTTCGATGAGTGACATTCATAACCGTCAGCAAAGCTTCCCATGACGGCAGCGCAGCTCAGAAACGAAGGCTTGATTTGCCGTCTGCTTCGGCACTCACTGAAGTCCTACTGTGCTTTCATTCGTATTTGGAAAGAGGCTTATTTACATGCTGACACCAAAAAAACGAACATATATAAGTAAATGGGATCTTCTATGTCACCACGGTCAAGACTCTGTTATCACAGGTGATGGCATCATAGAATTCCCTGTTAAAAACCATACAACCCATTGTCCTGCAGAGCCGAGCACCTGTCAGGGTGTGACCC